GGCCTCGAGAGGCGACGTGAGGGAGCGTGGATGAGGCTTCCTCCATGTTTGTTTCCTTCCTCAGGGGGAGACCTGCAGCCTGGGGCGCGGAGCGGAGCGTGAGCTTCCAGCTGATGGTGCAGGAGCTGGAGGTCTGATGCAAGTAGTGGCTGAAGGACCCCACGCCTGCACCGAAACACTTAAAAAGGGAAAAAGGCTCGAATCGATGGTTCTGCGGGCCTCTCTCTGTTTCCTATGGCCAAAGCGCTCAGCGCCAGGCTGGCAGCTGCGGACCCCCGGGTACTGGCCTTAGCTGCTCAGGTCACTGAGAGCAGGGAACAGGACATCCCCCTGCTACTTCTGAAGTTAAAGGGTAATTAATACAATTTCTAAAATAAAAGGATGAGGTAGTGAAGTATGGACAGTCCTTCCTTCTGCCTCCTTAAATACAGAAGTTTTTTTCTGAGTATTTCTGGCAGGGCTGGAAACTCTGTAAAGTTGGTAATGCAGCTTTTCTTGAGAGCAGTATTGAGTGGCGTTTGGCTTCACAAGAATAAGGAGGAGGAGCTGGGGAGCAAATGGAGAGGAAGTCTTTTCTCCCTCTCAGCTGTCACCGTGCTGATGTGGGCAAGGATCTTACATTTGTTCAAATAATTTTTTCCCAGTGCTTTTGGGTAGAGAGCCAGAGTGGTCATCAGTATTCAATTTTTAAGTCTTAACATGGAAACGCAATTGCGAGCTCCTCTGTGACTCCCCCTGTCTTTCCCTTTGCCACAAAGCCACTGCTCATAGAAACAGTAGAAACAAGTTAGGTCCTGTTCTAAATTGGGATGTAATTATAAGGAAGCTATATGTTTCACAGTGTTTGTGGTTTTATCTGGCCTAGGAAATTCATACAAATGGGCTATATCCCAGGTAATGTATGTTTTACTACTAAATGTGTAATGAGAAAGTGGAAACATAAGTTTAGCTATCCTTCCCAATTGTCATAAAATCTAACAAATGGACTGTAGCTGTAGGAATGAAAAATGCTGACAAAATATTTTATGCTGTTGTTAGCACTTTTAGAATTACCTTAATCCTGGCTCCGTGTACGCATATTCCGCTTATGTTTTGGAAGAAGAAAAAACATCTTGCACATGACAATCTTGTGCTCCTCATTGTCTCTCTCCTGCTTTCTTCCCACAGGAATTTTACATAGTGCTTCCTTGGGATATGAAGAATCAAAAAAAATTAAGCAAGATATATATGATTATGATCTTACTCAGTACTGCATGCTGATCCTTAGACAAGACCACTCTCGACTGCGTGGAGGCTGGGCTACTGCTGCCCAGCTAGCAGAGATACTAAGGTAAAAAAAAATTGCTAAGAAGTTTTCTTCTTGTTTTCTTTGTGGCCTTTCATCTTGCTCTTTTTCTTTTCAAGCTGTAATACATTGGCTCCCATCCAGAACAAGGCTTGTTGTTCAGGAAAGGCCAGGGTTAAAGTGCAGGGAGCAGTCAAGAGCAGAGGGGTCAGGCATAGCCTAATTGGTCCTGTTTAATTCATTTGCATTGTGTTTCATTGAACTGGGTAAACTGTTTGGTGGGAACAGTTTTTGTGTTGACTTTACCTTTTTTTGTGAACAGTACTCATCAGTGTCACAGTTCTTACCCAGTAATTGCTAATTTTGAATTGCAGTTATTTTTAAAAGTTTGTTTACTTAGATTTCATCTTGCAAAAATCTTCAGCCTGGCTGACTCACAGCTTGGCTTGACTCTATTTAAATATCTATTTAATATACCTATTTTAAATATCTATTTACATGTTAAACATAATAGAGGACACAGTTTGTACAGACTAGATAGCTTGATGTAGTGATATTGTGAGAATGGCATAATTAAGTTTAATTCATAGCTAGTAAATAAGACAACTTTAAACTCAAATCCCCAGTGATCCAATCTCAATTTTCAGTGTCAGGAAAAATAATAAGTTTTAAATTTTCCCCAAGTTGTACTTGATTTTTGGCTTAACTAGGGAGCAAAATTCTGAGGCATGAAGCAATTAGACAACCATCTCTTATTTATGCCATATCTGCAGTATGAATTTTTAATGCCAGGAATTTCACTAAGAGATGCAAGATTTAGCACCAGAGTTGTGTGATACTTAAATCATGCCCTATAAGCTATTTCATTTTGCAGAGAAAACTGAAATTTATTTTAGCTATAAAAGTGTCCTTTTGTAACTAGATGAATCTCAGCTTCATGCCTAGAATTTACTTTCCAAGGCCTTTGGTAAGCAAGGCTTTACATGTGTGCATTAGCAAAAAGCTAACAAAGGCTAGATAAGATGTCAGAAAGCAAAATTCATAAAACGCTAGGAAGGCTCTTTTGTTGCAGTAGTATCAGTGTGGAGTAGAGAATTGAAAAACTTCACAGTTGTAAAATGTGCAGTTTCTTGTAAAAAGTCTTTCAGAAATGATCGACATGTTTGTGATGAGTAAAATAAGAAAACTGAGATCTGAAGAACTGATTTCTAGCCCACATGTATTCCTCAGTTAGAGGAAAGTTGTAGACAGACTTGCTGAAGATATTTTGGTAAGTAATGTTTTTTTGTGTGTGTTTTTGTTGCCTGATCTGCACCCCCCTTCATCAGGTTTCCTTTCTCAGGTTTTTGCCTACCTTTCTATTTTGCCTTTTTTTTTCTTTATGACCATCAGAGCCCTTCCCTAGCACGTGGAACACGCCTGAACAGAAGTGCCACGGATATGTTTTAAACTGAGACATGCTATAATAAGTAGTAATATACTCGCTGTCCCCAGCCTGCCAGTGATTCCTCTTCCTTTTGAGGCAGCTACCCTGGAGCCAGTCACAGCAGTTAACTGTTGTTCGGTGTTGAATTGTCCCATGCCAGTGAAGCATTTCTTCTCTGATGACGTGACATTCATTCAAAGCTGTTCAAACAGGCCCTCGACTATTCAGGTTGTTGGTTTTTTTTTTTCCATTTCAGTCATTGTTGTGTAGGACTAGAGGTGAAAGAAGTTCCTGAGGAATTTTACAAGAAATTTCTTCCTTCGGCTATAGACAACCTGCTGGTTTTGGGAAGACGCTTGCAAGCACGGTTTATCAGAGTAATCAAGGTATGTAAATTTCATAGTTAAAAGAGCAGAGAACCTCTGTAACCTTTCCAAGCTTATGTATTGTGTAAGTAAGATATTATTCTAGGGACGCTGTGTTATGAAAATCTATTTTTGAGAAATTACAGTGTTTTTTTCTTATGCCTTGGAGCTTTGAAACTGAAATCTGTTACTGGGGAGCACTTGGTCCATTACGCGTGCAAAGCTGGTTTGTTACCATCAGTTTGTTTAGAGAGTTTGGCTGCTACTTTTTTAAAGGCAGTGGGGAGGAACACAAATGTAAGTAGGATAGAAGAATTAGGGCAATATGATAGAAAAAAAATGCCTTACAAAAGGCAGCATCCCAGTCACGGTAGTGTCTTTTTAACTTTGCATATAATTAGTTCAGTCTTTGTAACGGCTCTGTTCCCACTGCTTTATTCAGCTTTACAGAGAAGGTTTAGGAAGTCTGAAGACTTTAAATCAGATTTGTTGAAGTTTGTTTTGCCATACAGTTTCTGCTGTGAAATTGGCAAATAATTCCAAAAATGCTCACTGCATCTGAACCTGCACGTTGGGAACCCCAAAGGCAGACTTTGTGAATTTGTAGATTTGAATGCTTTATCTCCCTCTTTGCAGAGAAGAAAGGTTTTGCTCTGCTCGGTTCCTTCATGCTTTTGAAGCATTCTGAGTTCCAGAATCAGAAGAAAAAAAAACCCCAACAAACGAAACCCACGAATAATTTAAATAACCAACTTGATGGATTCTGATAGTTTCTTTTAATAACTGCATTTCCCCATAGTATCTCATTTCTTGGCTCACTGGCTTCTTGCGCTTAGTCAGAGTTTTCCTACGGAGTATTGTGCTGGACGCCATAAACACAATCAATTCTCAGAAAGTATCAGCAGAGTAACGTATTTTCTGTTAGTTCACTACTTCAGAAGTGCATTTAGTGCTTAAGAAGGAAGCTTCCTGAATGACATCCCAGGAGACTCGAGTCTTATCCACAATATGTAATTTCCCCCACACTTTCTTATTATGTCTCAGCCTATGTGCTACTTGAGTCATGCTTGTGGGCAAAGATTTCTTTTGAATGCAAATGCAGTCTACATGGTAATTAGTACTTTGGCTTTTAAACCTTGTGGTCTCAGAGGTGACTGGGCACCCAGACTTGGTGCTTGCTCAGTTGAACTTTGGAAATCCCACTCTACCAGTGGAGATTTGTAGTTTATTCTGCCCTCATTTGCTTTTTGTACAAGTCTTTGAAGTCAAGGGAAGTACTGAAATAGCTTTCAGAAACTGACGTATTGCCAAAACACAGAATAGACAATATTACAGCTTAACTTATTACTCTGATTTTGTATCTCTCATTGTCAGTAAGAATCACATAAAAAGTTAACCCATGACTGATGGCTAGGACTTACAGCACAGATCTAGGAATAGGCTTTTCAGAGTTTGATTTGTGGAGGTGCAATTAATGTAGGAAATATCAGGCCAAGTGCTTTATAACAACATTTGTCACCACTGTAGTACTATCAAAAGACCCTTTGCTGTCCCACACCCCAAGATTTTAGATTTCCAGTGGCCTGTGGCTCGCACCTGGAATACAGACTCTAGACTGTGCATGTCTGTGTGTGTCTACATGTTAAAACCTGGATTCTTCCTCGTCATTTTTTCCAGTTTGGTGTTATCACAGGCAAGCACGTAACATAGTCAGTTTGGCAAGCTGATCAAACTTCTGCTTAATAGTGGTGTTTGATTGCGGATCTCCAACTAGGAGGTGCTTCTGAAGCCTTACTGTGCCAGTTTTTAGGAACGTTTTCTATTTTAACTATGCCCTTGGCCACTTTGTACCCTTTTTTTCCTGTGCTTTAATCTTAAATAATGTATTTCCCACTTTGTGGATTAAATCTATGATGCATTTATTTGTACTGAACTATTATTTGTCTTCTTATCCTTCCTATGCTATCAAATATTTTTTAAGGAATAAACAAGACTTCTCTCTCCTTGTTATGATTTTTTCAGGAATGGATGCTTTTTTTTTTTTTTCAGTATGTTTAAATTTTCTTGATCTCTGGGCTTGAAGGACTTGCAAATGTTTTGTTGTTTTTTTTTTTTTTGACCAGTTCCTGCAGTTTCACCAACCTCATCTGGGAATTTGATGGAGTTTTGGTCTCCAAATCCCTGAAGCATACAAACCTTCCCACTACATCAAACTGAAGTACTCAGTGAAGATATGTACACATGCTTTTACCTTCTTCTCTTTTTGCTTAGGATGAAGAAAAACAAGATTTTTTGCGCTGGTTCCAAACAGTAACTGATGCCATCTGCTGGCTGTTCGGTGGGCATATTCAACTAGCAGCCTGTGGTAAGGGAAAAGTAAACTCATAACACCTGAAAATTTATTTATGGCAACTACAGGTATCAAGAATCACTCTTAAACTAATCTCCACCTAGTTTTCTAAATTGGAGTAATGTTAAATCAATCTCTTAAAGTAGTAGTCCACTCAACAGAAACAGGAATATCTAAAATGGAAAAGATCCACTAAAGGGAAATACTAAAGAGGTCCCCTTCTAGCCTTTGAGGCAAACACTAAAAGTGTTTTCCTGTAATTTCCCTTTGTAATTCTATACCTTACAAAAAAAAAAATATTTTTTTTCTGGTAAGATACAGTTGTTCTTTTTACCTGTGTGTGATTAATATACGCAGAAATTTGACCAGAGTACATTGCTGGCTCTGAAAACTGGAAAGTCTTAAACACATATTTCTGAAGTTTTTGCCATTGTAGGAAATTTTACAAATATCTAATAAACCTCACTATGCACTTCTGACCAAAATAAGCTTTCAATGAAACCAGTGTTAATCACACTGATTTTAAAAAGTAGAATTTGGTTTTGTTTCTAACATAGAACAAAAACCTAAGGATCATAAGATCTGTAACTAAAAACACAGCCCAACGTAAACAGTGCTACACTGGAACTGGAATAAAAATGATGGTGCTTTAATGACATCAGTGGACTTGCATTAAATAAACCTAGTGTTACAAGCTGTCAAGGTTGAAGTCCTTATCTTTTCCGGATATTGTTGCCCCAGTGACAATTCCACTGTTGTAATAAGAAACTGGTACTAGTGTAACATAAAAGGTTTTAAAGCTTTTATTCCCTTGTAACACCAGTGCCTGAGGGATATGAAAAGGCAGAAAAAAAGAGCTCAGCATGTTTTTTGGATGTTGAAGTAGTTTACTTCTTCCAGTAAGTTCGGTGTAAAAATTGTAGAAGAGGGAGTTTGTTCCAGAAACAGTATCTCGTTTTACTTCCTATGGCTTATGTTCCATAATGATATTTATTTGGTTTATAGTATTTTCAAGTCTGGTTCTGATTGTGTGACTTCTTGTTTGCTTGTTTTGTGTTTGGTTTTGGTTTTCTTTTTTTTTTTTTTTTTTTGCAGTACTGCAAAATGATCACTTCCTGCAGCTGTTAATAACAGATGATGTTGAAACAGCAATTATAATGATGTCTGTTTTACACAATATTTTGAGGGTCAATAGGTTAGTTGTTTTTTATATCGATTTTTCTGAATTTTAAATTTAAAACTCAGTTCATTACTGCTTGGTAAAATAGAACTTTTTAATATACAAGAATTGTTGTGGGTGGGGTTTTTTCTAGTCTTTGTTGTAGAAATAGAAAAATAGCTATTTTCTTTATCTTGTTGTTAAATTGAAGGAATGGGAAGCAGTTGATTGAAACAGTAGTATTGCCTGGATCAGATTGCTGGTCCAGCTAGCTGGGTTTGTTGGCTTGCTGAATGCCTGACATATCTAAAAATAAGTCACTGTTAAAAAGTTCATAGTTTGTAATTAACACTTAATTTTTATTTTTCTTCTTTGTAAAGTTCTGTCTTGCTTCAGGTTGATGAAGAGACCCTTCACTCTGTTTTGGATGAACTTGTTTATAAGCTTTCATCTACCACCAATCCTGTCATAGGAAATGCTGCTACAAAACTGCTATTGTTGGTGGCAAAATTTTGCAAGCAGCTCGTGAAGTTACTCACAGCTCGCTACAAAGGTTTGTAAACATGCGTGGGACCAATTACTGGGCCTCCTCTTATATTCACTGTAAAAATACAAAGATGAAGATTTCCCATTTCCATTCAATAACTGTTCAATACAGATGGAAACCACAGCGCTCTGTTGTTGCCTTTTTCCTTTCTCTTCATTTTCATTAAGGTGCTGTGCCTCTTTCTGCTTCCTAGATTTATTTTCTTCTGTGTATTGAGGACTCTGCATGTGGCAACTTGTCTCTTAAAGCTGTTGTTTGTCACTTCCAGCCTGATGGGCTTTACTTCTTTCTGTATGATGTTCTGCATCTTTTTTTTGCTGTGCAGGTTGGATATTGAGAGATCCTAGTAGCAGGGTGCCTGTGCTGCCACTGTAATAGCCGTGTGTCAGACATCTGCCAGTGTGCTAAGGCTCACTAGTCCAGAAGCGTGAAAGTTTTACTTAAAGCCAACTTCTGACCCTGTCTGTTACAGGTCATCTTCTCTGATAGGTGCTGTTCTGTTACTGAGGAGCTGACTGTTTTTTGATATCCAAGTGATTGGAATGAACTCTTTCCAAAAATTCATTAAATGAGTTTGTCGTTTTGTCTTTGCCCTTTTAGATGAGGTGGCTGAGTATGCATATAATTTGCTCTGTTATTCATTATTTAATGAGGTGTCCATTTAATGTTTCTGTCTCTAACCTAGCAGGGAGCTTCAGGAAACCCCTTTGTCCTCTGTCATGCCCATGGAGACTAGGAAAAAGGCTTTGATGTTTGCCAGGTCTTTTGTATTCTGGATGGTATTGATGGTCAAAACTACTTGTAAGCAGCCTCAGTCCATTGGGGACAAGGGCAGTAAGAAGCGGGTATGATAGACAAAAAGGTCCAATTCCTTTTTTTTTTTAACACTTGTGATGACTACTTACTAGGCAGTACCAGCCAGATAAATTTCTGGACCAGACGGGCAGCTTTGCCACCCTTTTGCCTACAGAACTGAGAGAGGAGAGCTTCCTTTTGGTATGAAATTAAGTGTAACATGCCTAAGGCTGGTATCACATTGCAGATTCTTGTGAAGTTGCTGTGATGGTCTGATCATCCCAGCTGTAGAATGCTGGCTTGTCTGAAGAGGTGCAAGTCTCCATCAAAGGATTATGCTTTATTTTGCTCTAGAATCACAATATGCCACAGTCATATACTCTTCGTCTCTCTTCTGCACGTTTCCTGTTTCCACTAAGAAAAAAAATATCACTTTTTTCCCCATTTTTTTTTTTAAGTTATAGTCCTTATGTTAGTTTTCACTCAGGCTTTGGAATCCTTTAGTTAGTTTGAAGAACAGCAGCAACAAAGAAAGCATTACAGCATTTCTACCATCTGGCCATCTCATTGAAGTGACTTGGCTTCCCAGTGGCTCAGAGCTGTTACCAGTATGAGGTACTTCAGTGTAAGCTTTCTGTCAGTAAAGGCAGCCTGCTGGAGATGAGGACATCACTGGAATCTCACTCACATCTCCAAGACTAGCACAGTCTTTACATCAGGTTTCCAGGAGGGCCTGATCTTTTTGTCCGCATGCGTTGACACATCTGAGGTACTTTCTGCCAGTAACTGAAAGGTGCATACGGCTGTGTAGTCTGTACAGAAACTGGCAAATGGTTGCATCAAGCCCACAGGACTTCTGTGAGGGAACTGCCTTGTGTAGCCAGGCTGTGTGCTTTTGCAGAGTTCAGGCAGCTTTAGGGCACCCACTGACTCCATTTGGAGTCTCACCTGCCTCTCTCCTCAAGTGTTTAACTGTCATCATCTTTCCAGAATGGTGCGTGAGTGATAGAAAGAGGTGCCATTTTCTGTTTGCAATGAAGGACTTTGTGCTCCATATCCAGACCCTCTAATATATGGGTGCTAAAGTTGCCCAGTGTGTGAATATGCTTATGGACGATGATTTGAAGATGGAAAAGTTACTTGAATCTGCAATTCTTGAGGAGGCTATCCAAACACGTCTGCTTCCTGCCCTCCTTCCTTTTCCCTCCAACTCCCTGCAGAACATTCAAGCTCTGGGATTTGTCTGATACAAAGCTAAAAAGCATGTGTTACTGTCAGCTTGTGTCTTGTGTGTGGCACAGGGAGTGTGTGTGTTGTGGGGGGAGCACAAGTGTGCTTTTTAGCTACTGCGAACCTAAAAAACTATTTTGTTTCAGGGATTGGATGTATGTGTACTCACAGTTAGACTGTGCTATACAAATAAGACATCAAAGAATTAATAAAATTTGTTATTAAAATTATGAAAGCAGTGCTAATAAAACCTTTACATCCTTTTTTTAGTGCTTTACATCCTTATAGTACCTTACAGTGACTTACTGATAAGACACTGAAAGTACATTGATAATTTAACTACCAGTTATGTAGACACAATAGGTAGTGACTTGGACATACAAAATTACAACCACTGTGTAATACTTCTCTGTGATGGTTGGAGCACCAGATATTCATTGATAATATTCTACACTGAAGCTCAAAGATGACTGATGGTGTTCAGCTCCAATCTTGTTCCGTTGCACATAGAATCAGATTTGGCTTTTTTACTTGAAAATTGTTAGTTTTCAAATTGTTAGTTTGAAAAATTCACCTTAGTGGTATCGCATGTTTCTTCTCTCCCTCTTAGGATTAAAGGGGCTTTTAAGTAAACAATGGACTGGCAAAGGATTTGACAGGGATCTCAGTCAACTCTTGGACCTGCTGTACCTGGAACAGTCCAATGGAAAAGGAGAAATGCAGGTGCTGAAGTTTAATGAGACTTTTGCATGTGAACACCTAGTTACATGTGATTTACATATGTTTAGAATGGATTTACTTGATCACTTTAGGGATACTTCTCAAAGCCTGTGTTACATTTTCACTGTATTAATGGATTTTTAAATTTCCTATTTATTTTTTCCCCTCCATCATTTTTTAAGTCATCAAGAAATTGTCCAGTGATTAAGGTATGAGACTGACTTGACGGATTGACTTTCTGTTGCAGATTCACCATAGATTTCTATACAACCATAGCGGAAAAAATTAATTTAGTTTTGCTAATTATAAAACAAAAACAGCTACCTGCTTTTCTCACATCAGTGCTACAAATTTAGATCTCTGAATTCTAGGCAGCATTCACATAGAATTAAGTCGTGTAGAGAAAATGTTCAGTAAGAACACCTTCTGGGCTGTGTTCCCAATAAAAGAGACAATGTGTTTTATGAACTTCATACCAAAATTTTACATGCAGGTTTCTTAGAAAGAATACTTTAAAGGAAATCAGTTATGGTTATAGAGTCTTTCATCTTCAACAGAGCAGGGTGTTTGTGTTGTGGTTGTTTTTTTTTTTTTTTTTTTAAATCCATTTAAGAATAGAATTGATTTTTTTTTCAGATTTGTTGCATTTCAGTGACTTCAGATCATACTGCAAACGTAACATTTTTCCTGCTGCTAGTTCTCCAAACTTGTATTTCTCTCCTCTCTAGTGTAGGCAGTTTGATTGAATCACCATTTGAAATACCAAGTGCTTCAGGTGTTTTAAATACAAATTTCTAACATTGATTAATGCAGCTAATATATATTTTATATGTGCTGTACCACATTTGTTTACCACAGAGAGCATTGATCCAGATGATCAGATTAGCTGCCTTTGGAGCAAGTACCATGCTAATAACCCTCTTGTAGGACCTTAAATTCCCCAAGCTGTTACAAATACTGAATTTTGATGCATTTGAAAACTGGTGGGTTTTGGCCAAATGTTGAGATTGTTCCAAATATGCAAGCAGTAATAAAGTGGTTTTATATGCAGAGAAAATATACTACCAACTCCTTTATTAATTTCAGAGGCAGCATCAAGCAGCTTGTAAAATCCAGGCTATGTGGAGGGGATTTCAGACAAGGAGAAGGCTGAAAAAACTACCCCAAGCAGTGACCACTTTACAGAGAAGCTTCAGGTAAACAGTATGGCTTTGTAAAAAGCACTAAAGAGAAGAATCTAGAAAGAAGGTTTGGTTTTTCTCGGGTGACAGTGTCACAGGAAAAATTTAGTCATCTAATCCTATCTCCTACTTGAACTAGGGCCAGCCTCAAAATGGGATCTTGCGGCTCCAAGGATGGAGATCTCACCATCTCCCTTGGTCCCTGTCCTGGTGCTGCATAACTCGCCTTGGGAAGAATTTTTTTTTCCTCGTTGCAGCTCTTTACCACTGCCTCTTGTCCTTTCTGCATGCGTCTTTAAGAGTCTGGCTTTGTCTTCCCTTCCTTTAGCTGATGTCCAGGTAGTCAGTGCCCAACCTGTCCTGGTTCATGAGGTTATTTTGTCCCAAGTGCAGAACTTCCTGTTTGAATTTTATGTGGTTTCTGTTGACCTATTTTCTGTGTTTGTGGAGGCTCCTCTGAGTGTCAGCTCTGCCCTGCATGCGAGACTGTTATGGCAGCCTTGATAAAGTCAAGGAAAATGACATCCACCACTCTCTCCTCATCCTCAGAGCCAGCCATCTCATCACAGAAGGCAATCAGGCTTGTCAGATATGATTAGCCTGTGATAAATCTATGCTTGCTATTGCCATTCACTTCCTGTCCTTCCTGGAAATGGCTTCCCTGAGGATTTCCCAGGGCATAAGTTTGGGCTGACCAAGAGTTCCTTCATCTTGAAGATGCCTTTTTCCAGCCAGCTGTTATTTCTGAAACATAAAGGTAATGTAATGTCAATATGAGCTGTTTCACTACAGATTCTTTTAGCAGAAACATCCAAACAATGTGCTTTTCTGGCAGCACCAAACTGCTGCTTCTGGTGCCAAAAGCTCCAACTGTCCCTTTCCCAGCTGCCAAACCTCTCCATGAAAAAACGCCCTTCTATGATGCTTTTATGTATTTTCTGTGTAAAAATCTATGGCATATGGAAAACCAAAAGTGTGGCATGCTGTAGCATGGGATTGCACTAAAAAGCACTAGAAGGTGATGGACTGGTGGTATAACAGTTAACTGGTTCACAGTTAACTTGACATAAAATTCCACTGTAAATTGAACATGGAGCTGTCCTGGAGTTTCCAATCTGCCATGCCAGAGCGCTGCAGAAACCAAGGCCCGTAGTGCTTGCTTAGTATAGTGCTTGCAGGCTCTTGTTCTTCATTAATGTTTGAAACCTTTGACTCTCAGAAGTGGAGTCACTTCAATGACCTAGAAATAGTATCATCTGACTTGGAGCACCACAGAAGAATGAAGCTACATAAATAATGCTTGTCTTAATTGAAGCAGGATTTCAGCAGTAATTTTAGCACGTTAGGCTAACTCTTGAGAAATTTGGTGTGAATTTAACATAGGTTAAGGGATCTATCTCAAGTTCAGAATCCACAACAGGTTTTTTCAACCTTTTTTCGTATATGTTGAGCAGTACTGTGTTAAAACTAGATCTTACAAATCAATTGCATTATGATCAAGGTGTTAGAAAGCAGATAGTTACAATTTGTTGTCTAGACTAGCATTAAGACCGTATTGTACTATCTAGGGTGTAATCTGTAAATTCTGGAAGATTTGCAGGGGGAAGCAGTGTGTCCATGGAGGACCACTAGCCACTCCAGCTTTTGCTGAAGCACCAAGAATGACATCCTTGTCATTTCTTTTGTACTCCACCATACACTTTGAGCCAATATTCCTTCTCTCATCAGGCACCTTGCAAGCCTGAATCACAGCCCAGAAAACTTGGATGATGGGCTAAGCTGTAACATAGTATAGTGACGAGGCTGTTGGCAATCAACAAGCTACTTGACTTTCTTGTATCATATTTTCAGTATTGTGAGTGTTACTGCGTGCCTCTTGGGTAGTTCTTGAGTCATTTAAATGGACTTTTGAATATGTTTGTTTGAGAGGAATGGAAATGTATTAATATTCTTACAGTTGTATGTTTGTGGCTCAGTCCCAATGTACTGAGTACAATATAGTAACTGTACAGCTCCAATGTGTTTTTTTTCGGTGTAGGTCAAAGCAGCAGTTAGTGTTATGCTGAGAAATAGTGTTTGGAATACTGTAAGTGTGACTTTGGAAAAACTTTCAAGAGGACTTTTTTGAATTTTTAACAGTCAGGATTTGGTTATATTCACTGATTTATTTTAGAACAAGTGTGGTTAAATACTGTTGAGGTTGAAACTCCAAACTTGGCTCACCTGCAGCTCCAGCGAAAGATCTTAAACTCTGCAAGTTATAAACTTCTGAAACTCTGTGGTTTCAGAAATGCCTCCTCAGTGAGTGTTAAAGTCATCTCTCCTGGAAGTTAGTTCACCGTTACATAGCTAGTAGTAGAACTGTTAAAATGAAAATATTTTGTATTAATCAAGCATTAAAAATCAAACCATTTTATATATATGTAAAGAGATGATCAGAGGGAGTCTGATCTGTGCCATGAGCTGCTGAAGGAAGTTTGGATCTTATTCTGTGTATGCTTTGCTTCTGTTCAGAGGCGTTTCCCTGTCACAGTGTGGTCTTGTGCAAACAAATGTGTCTTATCATTAGGAGGAACAGAAAATTAAGAGCATGTGTTTTGCAGACTACACGGGAAAGAATCAGTATCAAAGAAACATTTAAATACCTGACGGACACTATTGGTAGTTTCACAAATGCACATCTGAGAAGTCCATGAAACATTCCTGTAGTTTTCCACCTAGAGGAGCTGATAAAAAAATTCTAGGGGAAATTACTAATAGTTTTATCAAGAAAATGTCATCAAAAGTGCTGTTTGATCCTGTGTCATCATTCCGCTTAGACGTATAATGTGTGCCTGCCTGGATTAAAAATACAAAGATTTACAGCTCTAATTTGCAGATATGTGTGGGCTGCAAACCTCTAGTATGCTTGAGGCCATTCTGATGTAATCACATATATCATGATCTGTCTCTGTAGGTAGATGTGTGGGCATGCTTCAGGTCTGGATTACTGTTATAAAAGGATTATGGTCTCTCAGATCGTGGTGGAGGCTGTTTTATCAGTTAGGGCCAGATTTTTAAATCAGGAGCATCTCTTTTACAAAATACCTTCCATCCCATCTTTCCCCACCCAGTTATGGGGACTGAGGAGAAAGTATGGTTGGTAGAAAAATTACAACTCAATTTATACTAGCGATGGGAAACACACCAATAAGTCAGTAGTACTGTGAGTCTAAAAGTATGTGACATGCAGCAATACCAAAATTGCTGGATGTTAGTTCTAGTCTATGGTCTTTTTTTTTTTTTGCCCATTCTGGCACCCCTTATGTCTCTGCTCTGTCCATTTGTTCTCTTTCCTAGCACTTAAGGTGCTCCTTTCATTGTCCCTGGAAAAATGCTAGAGGAGGGCAGAACTCGCAGCTGGGGGCCCAGTGAGGTACTTGGGTCCTGAGCAGGCAAGTGATTTTGCTGCAATAAGGGTAGAGAAGGAGTCACATCATTACCTCATTGTGGGGTGAACTCATAAAGTCTCAAGCGTTAAGCTGCTAATGAGGTCAAGTCCACTGGGACGAGAAGGAGTAGTGAAAGAATGGTGAGCCCTAGCTCACAGCTCCTCATGCTTCACTGAGACCATGGCCAAGTGGTCTCAGTAATTATAAGTGTTGATATATCAGTATATTTAGTATCAATATATTAGTCTCTATGTTAATATGTTAGTGTATATATAATTGATACACAGGCTGTTATTAGCTTAAACGCTCCAGGGCCAGTTACAGAGTTTTCATTTGTCTCATCTGTGAAACATCTGCTGGGGCTTTTCCAATGCCAAGCACAGCGGGCAACATCCTAACATCAAATTACAACAATTAGTATGGATCAGGAAGAAATTGCAAGAAAATTCTTTCCTAGTGTTCTGTTAACAAAGTTGATGGAGAAAATGTGTCAGTCTGTACTTCCTGGAGAAAAACAATCCCTCCATATTAAGAAGTGAGCCTTAAGAGCCAACATTCTGATCTACTCTTGCAGTCAGTACAAAAATGATAGTATGTATTATGGAAAGCAGGTGCCTGGCATGCTGATGGATGCACTGGAAAAGGTGCATACAAAGGTGTTACAAAGGTGCAGATGGCTAATGTTGCTTTACCTTTTCTCTAGATGATGGAATCAAAATTGTTGTTCTAGTTCCTGCTAGCTGTCAATGTCCCACATGGAGTATTGTTCCCTTCAAGGTCCTTAGAACTTTATCCTAAATAAAAATATATCCTTTGAATTGATACCAGATAGAGTGACAGGCTCAGTATTTTTTGTGGGTATACATAGTATTGCAATTTGTTAGCTTGCGGGTGATTTCTCGTTCTTTGGTGTGGTCATGCAGCCAACAGCTGGGATGGCAGATTATTTTGTGGATTTCCTCCCTCGATGCTGGACAATTTAACACACAAAGAAAGAGATGCTTTTAAGAAATGTACAGCTTAGGCTAATTGTTAATGTATTTGTGCATTGCAGAGCGAAACGGGAACAGGAGCTGCAGCATTTAAAAAAACAGAAGGAAGATGAGGCTCTCAAACTGCAAATGCGACTTCAGAGGCAGAAGGCCATGAGAGTCTTCCATGAACGACAGCTGGCCTCGCTGGAAATAATCCATGCCAGTATGATTTATATTAAACTATATCAGAAGATTAAACTGTCTGGGTGTCCTTAAGAACAGTTTCTCCAAATATATTTCCTAATCTTGCCTGTTTGCCCTGTAGTCTTACTGTCTCTTCTCCCGACCCAATTATCTGACAGAGAGCATGCTAATTCTGCAAGGGCTCAGTAACTACTGATCAAGATCTGCTGCTGCCTTCAAAATGGTGCAGGAGGAAGGGAGACTTAGTTTTCTTGTGTTACAAAGCTCCACTGCAGCTACAAGTCTCTGAGACGTGGCCTGCAGCTACTGGGCCTTGGATGGAGAGAGGTTTTTAACTGACAGCACACAAAACTTTTTTGGTACTCTCTAGTTTGAGGATTAAAAATGTAAATTGTTAAGAGATCCCAACCCACCATCTTATAACTGGATTTTTGTTACATTTGTAGGTCAGGTAAACAAGTACATGGAGGAAATGGAGGGGAAATCAGCATTAACTATCCAGAGATTCTGGCGAGGGTATAGAGCAAGAAGAAATTTTCATCAACAAAGACAGTCTCTGAAGGAGTATAAAGCAGCTGTCATCATCCAGAGAGCAGTAAGTATATATACTTTGTTCTAACATTGGATAGGACTGAGTGGATTATTGCAATGCCTTAAAAAGCTCTGTTTATTCTCTTACTGTCGCTGTAGCCATAACTTGTTAAAAAATATTCAGAGGATGATAGTCTAGAGCCACAAGTTGCTTAGGTTAAACCTTGCATAGGTTACAAAGTCTGATAGAGTCTTGTAACTAAAATATAAGAGCCGCCACTTGGGGGAAGCTGGCTGGGGACTTAGATTGCGGCTTGGGAACTAGCTGGGCATCGGTGGTCTGCGGGTGGTCTGCGCTGTGCATCGCTTGTTTCGTATATTCTATTATTATCATCATCATCTTTCTTTTTTGTCATATTAAACTGTCTTTATCTCAGCCCAAGAGTTTTACTTTTTTTTCCCAATTCTCTCCCCTATCCCACTGCGGGGGGGTGAGTGAGCGAAGGGCTGTGTGGTTGTTTTAGCTGCCTGATGGGTTAAACCACGACAAAACCTAAGGTTGGCATTTCACCACACTGCAGATGAGTTGATAATTTATTATGAGTGTCCTTACTTACTATTTAGCTTTCATGCTGACTGTTGTATGTTGTCTTTTCAGCATCATAGCTGAAGGTATGCTTTAACATATGCACTACTGAAATATTTTTCTTTCACTGATTGATTACAAACAAAATGAGAAGACAAAACTTCCTGACTGTGATTGTCCTATTCTCATATGTTCTTTACAAAGGCTTGTAAATTCTTGGAAAAACGAAGAAGGAGGAGAGCCCTCTCTCCTTGGAAAGGTCCCAAGGGACTGACTGATGAGCAGAGACTAGCTTTGCAGCAGAAGGTGGATGAATACATCAAATTGCATCCGGTCTGTTTCTTAGTCATTTCATAATTCGCATTAATGATGCAACATAAAATACTGTAGGGATGTAATATATTCAGCTTCATAAATTCTGATAAAGATAATCCATGTGAGGTATGCATATATTAACCCTGCTTATTTGAGAGCAGGGTACTAGGATATTTGGGATTTTAACCGTTAATCTAATAAAAAGGGTCAAAGCAAACTGTAATTGGAAAATTTATATACTTGATGATGGATAGCTTTGGAGATAACTGAAGAGGAAGCAAAATTATTAAGTTAACAATTAAGAACAGCATTTGCATTCCTTCCCCCAAAAGATTTAAACCAGCCAGCTCCTCACGGTAACAAACTGTTACTTTCCTCCAGGCTTCCCAAATGTCAGAAGAAATGAGTAAAGAATTACATATGCAGGCCCAGGAAAAGCTGGCACAGTTCCTGTTGAGGAGCAGACTGGATCAGAGAGCAGCACAGCGAAGAGAGACATTACTGGCTCAGGTCAACACCGATGTGGAGCTGCTAATGAGTATGTGACTGCTGTGGTCATAGTTTTGATTGCAGTTTGGATTAAACTAATATAGAGAGAAAATTAGAGGGAACAGTGGTAAAGCCTCATTTCAAAACTGAAATATCTTTCTTCCTTTGCCATATGCCTTTATCTTGAGATTCAGGCTCTGTTAGTCATTAACCAGGTGTTGCTATAGGTTAGGTTTATATGCCTGCTTTTCAAAGAGCAGCTTATTCTTCTGCTAGAAGTCTCTCTCTGATACATTCACAGTGTATGAAAGCAGTGGCCCTGCAAAAGGCATTAAAATTTCTAAGGGGATCTCACACAAACTCTTCCTCTACATTTGTTTTGCTTTGTTCTGTTTTCTTGTATTGTAAGCAAGCTGCTGGTTAAAGTGCTCTCACTTCTTCCAGATAAAGAAGAGCTCTTTCAGCTATGAATTCTGAGTCATGTTTTCATTTTCTCTGGCCTGGCTTTATTTGAAATGGAATTCACTATTGTATTATCCTAATTCCAGACAAGTAGCTGGAGTGTAAAAGAGTGAGAATAGCAAACTGCAGCCACCAGAGAGCACCCAAGCAGGACAAAATTCAGCAAGTTACTGAATCCTATTACTTAGTCTGTCACGTGCTGTGTCACTGCAGCTCATCGCTCCCTGACCAGGCAAATCAGCAACACCCTCTTACACTGTGCTGGGTCCCCCAGGCAGGGAATACGCAGCGCTGCTGCGCCAGAGCAGTGGAAACACCTCACTGATGTCACCCTGCACCTGGAGCACGGATCCAGCAGTAACGACTGGGAGATCCTCTTTCTCTTGGGCCATAGTTTCACAAGCAGTCATTTTGGTGGATGCCACTGCTGCACCTGAATGTAGTAGTCCTGCTTTCCCTCCTCTGTCTCCCTTACCCCATTATGTATTTATTTTTTCAGATTAGCCTTAATTTGGATTGCTTCTCCAAACAGGTTTATCACGCAGCCATAAAATTGTAATGCCAGCATGGGGAAAGGAGTGACCTAGGACAGTGGAAAGTGGGAGGGTAGTGCTCCTTCTTTTTTTGTCTGAAATGCTCATAAAACTGTGGCATAAAACCCAAAATACAGAAAAGTGTTCTTGTTGTTACAGATGCCCCAGGGTTGGCAGAGACCACAGAAAAAGATCTTGACGTGTTTATGAGCCGATCAATCCCTGTAGCTGCCAAGGCAAGACAATCCCACAACACTATGCTGAAATACACTCGCTGGCCGTGGTGGAAGAAGCTTGGAGATGAATTTGTGGAGGATGATGTCATTCCTGATGATGCCCTAAATGCAGAAGCAGAACTGGAAACTCTATTTATTGGTGGAAGGAAATCCCTTTAGGTAACAGGCAGAAGAATTTCTTACTCAACCAGACTCATACCTTGCACTATGCATTCACGTACGTGTGTTTTTAAGGAAGGAAAACACTGAAAAAGACCAATGCCTTTAGTGCGTTTTACTTAGCTTATTAAGAATATCCTCCTGTACCTTAACAGTTAGAATTCTATTGTTTGTGCTGTTGCAAATAGGATTTAAATACTGTAGTTGTAAATGAGGATATTTTGTAATTTGTATCACTTTAAAAGTCAGTTCATAACCTTTGGCTTTTCAGTTCTTATTCACACTTGTATGCGTAAAGAATCAAGCCATTGTAAAAGCCTGGGCTTTTATAGCAAAACATTTTATCAGGTGGTGTGCTTTGAGATAAAGATGCATTCAGAACAATCCAAGACACCAATAAGAAGTCAAGCAAGCACTAGGCAGGCTGGGTAGAACAGCCAACCCCAGTCAGCACAAGCAAGCTTGGCCTGAGGAACTTCTACCAGCCTCTTGATAGCAACAAGGGAAAAAAACCACCAGCATCCTTGGATTATATGTATTTTCCTTTACAAGCATGCAGTTCTTTCCACAGCCAATGCAGTGCAAACATGGGTGCAGTCCAAACTGTTCTATGGGATTGTAGCCTCAGTGTGACCATCTGGACCATGAGTTCCATCTTCTTAAACCATGCAGATGCTGTTTAATCCTGAAAGCTCTCCAGCACAGGGCCTCTGCAGTCACTGTGACCTGGTACACAGTAAAAAACCTACAGTCAAGGGCTGAAGGATGCTGCTTTCTGACGTGCCTGGAAAGCAAGAACTCAAGGCTGCAGCTAGTGCTGTAGGTGCCTGCGCTATATTTTTTTTTAGGTGAGAGGCCCAGAGAGTCTAAGAATTGGATCTTACCTCACTGCAGAGGAAGAAAAAGCGCAGTGATTTCTGCCAGTTGTATGTGGGCAGCAATACTGGTTCAGTGTGTTTGTTTTCTGTTCTCTCTAGAAGGTTTTGAGTTTTAATTTTAGTGGAGATGAATGAAAAACAAATAAATAGAAATAGTGGGCAGAAGCCCAAGCCCATTCAGATGCAGCTGATACATTGAAATTAATAATTGGACAGCTGCCGAGAGGAAGAGCTGTGCTCTGGGTTAATTTTTTTAACAGAGCTGTGATTTGGAAGGCACTGAGTTGGCTCTCAGCTCCTTTCTTGGAGAGTTAACTGGTGAAACAAGCCATTAACTATTTGTCAGGGCACTTGCATGTGTCTGTTGAGTTACTTAGTAGTTCTGCACAGCCCTGCTATTAGTTTTAGACCACGCCCATAACAAGACAGGTGCCCTACAACCACTGGAGTGGAGGG